CGTCCTCCGCAATGTAGACACATGTACATGCGACAAAACTACCCGCCCGGTCATGTATTGTAATATACCACCATGGGGAATACTTCACAGTAGGAGGGGTGGGGGGTTAATGTTAGGGGAAGCGACTGGGGACTGAATCAACAAGACATGACATCGCGCAGTGCCCTGGGAGGACGATTTCTGCGAAGATCTTTATTGGCATTTCCAGGAGGCTCAGTGCTGGTTAGTTCTCACCAACGACAGTTCAAGCATTTACAGAGTGGAAAAGCACATGTTGCTTCCCATGCCTACTCGCGCGTGTAACCTTGTCATGAGCTGTCTCAGGTTCACGGAAGTGTTCCGAAGTTGAAAGTGCTTTTTCCCGTGCGGGCACCCAGATGCTGTTCTAAGCCGCTGTGATTGTTGAGCGGGCAAGCAGCACCCACGATTGAAGACCAAAGGCAAGCATACCTGAAGCTGCCATTTACCATCATTCGCCGCAGAAGTCGAAAGTTTGTCGTTTCCCTTCCATGTGAGGATGGCTCACCGACGTTTGTACAGGCATCGTCGAGGCATCTGCTCGTATGAAGTCATGGTAATAGTGATAGTACGAGTAAGAGCAATAGTAATAGCAATAGTAATTGTTGTAGTACTAGTAATAGCTAGACATTTCGCGAAAGCTGAGCAGGCCGCAATCGGACATGCCAGCCGGGATCCTACCAGGGGTAGTGGTGGAAGTCTTTCACATACCGAGCATGCGCGCAGCAGCCAGAGACCAAGCCACAGAGCGAGGCTCTTGTTGACGAGGATGGTGACGAGTAAAAGCCTTAATGTCAAGGGGGAGTTTCCCAAAATTAGGAGTGCCATTTTGGGGGTCCCCACAGTTAGGCTTATAGTATCTAGGGGTCTCTGTTGGGGTTCCCTTATTTTGGGAAACTACCAAGTGTTGCTCAAGCTCACTGGCCGGCTACTGTCCTTGGACGCTTGCGTGCTCAGTTCATGCCAAGGCACAAGTATTTGGTAGTTGACAACATGCCCAAGAAGGCACAGTGGACTTGACAAGCCAACACCTTGTTCTACGATATTACCGGTTGGGCCCCACCCGCTAATAGTAATTAATCACGAATGGTGTGTATATATATATATATATACACGTGTGTGTGTGTGTGTGTGCGCGGGTGTGTGTGTGTGTGTTTTGTTTGCATTCATGTATTCAGTTATGTGTATTTATTTATAGAGGGTCGGGCCTAACCAAACCTGTACCAGATAAAGCCAGGCAACGCCCAGTCCGCCTGTGGTGCCGCTTTCAGCGAGGAAGCCAGTGACATAGAATTATTACTATTACTATTATTATTACTATTATTACTATTACTATTACTATTACTTTTTGTATTACCACAACGATTACTATTACTATTGCTTTTTGTATTACCACAACGATTACTATTACTATTGCTTTTTGTATTACCACAACGATTACTATTACTATTACTTTTTGTATTACCACAACGACTACTATTGCTAATCTTACTATTACTAGTATTGTTACTACCACCTATATATGTAGATACATATGTATGCAAAGATCGTTTCAAGTTGGCTGGATTTTAGGCTCTGAAATTATCAGCAACTGGCTCGGGAATCACCACTAAGGGATCACCCAACAACCCTAAACCCTAAAACCCGAAACGCTAAACCCTAAACCCTAGATCCTAAACCCTAAACCCTAGATCCTAAACCCTAAACCCTAGATCCTATAAGCCATGTTAGGTGGTGCAAGATTTCGTCCATCCACAGTAGAATGCACAACTTCTTGGGCAGCACCGGCTCGCCTGGCTCTTTATGACCTTTTGCCTGGCCTGCTGCTAAGCAATGTGAATTAAGTTACCATAAGATTGGGGTTAAAGTAAATGATTAGTTGGGTTTCCTCATTATAGTAACTTAATCTAAGTTCCTAGACAGCAATCCAGTTGCAAGAATAGCAGTTCCCTTCATACACCCAGATGCTCAAGCAGGGTCCGGCCCCCAACTGGGATGCAAAAGAGACGGCTGAGGCCAGCCCCTGGCGGATATGGCTTCTTTGTGCGGGAAACGGTGGATGAGGCTTCTTCTTCTTTCACCTGCAGGAATGTGACATCCGGATGCTCTCGTTGCTACCCTAAGATCACTCCACAATGCAGGCAGTACTCCCTACACTTTGCGAGACCGACCTATAACTTATGATTGCTGGCAGTTGTGTTTGTCTAGGGGGCCAGCTTATCAGTGTCAAGTACATATAGTAGTTTCCCAGAATAAGGGGACCCCAATATAGACCCCAAAAAATTCTTTCGTCCTTATCATGGGGAGCCCCAAAATGGTACCCCTAAGTTTGGGAAACCCCCATACATCCGATCAGACTTTAGAAGTCAAACGCTGGAGGATTACGAGCCATCCGAGCCACGATCTCCAAGGAGCCGCCCCGCCAAGAGGTGCGGTGCTCATCTGACAGGGTTTAGGGGGTTTAGGGGTTAAGAAGTTTAGGGTTTAGGTTTTTGGGTTTAGGTTTTTGGGTGGTTTGTGCCAAAAGTGCAGTGCAGCTTTCTTGGGATTCTTGGGAATCAATTTAAGACAAATTTAAGAAGTCAAAGAGGCTGGTGGTGCGTGTATCCGTTCTCCATACAACTTCTCCTTGTGCCCATATCCCATGACAAGGATCCCTACTATTTTCCTCCGAAAGAAGAAATCTCATGTCGAGAGACCACCAACCTGTCGAAGTAACAGGGTTTAGGGTTTAGGCCATTTGTTTTGAGGAGTATGCAGAGACCGTATTCCTACTAGACTGAACATTTTCATAGCCCTTGGAACCCCCCAAGATGGTACCCCCAATGTTGGCAAACCTCTGGTTTGAGCTTCCCAAAAGTCATCCCAGGGTCAGGATTCCGAGCATAATGTAGATTGTACAGGCACGGTGCTTGGAGGCCCATGGGGCTTAGGAACTACTTATAACCGGACTTATAACACCCTACTTATAACTTCCCTAAAAGGCTTATTAGAGGCTACCAAGTAGGGTGATAATCCCAGTTATATGAGTCCCATGGGCCTCCAAGTAAGGGAGGCCGAAAACACAGGACAGCTTCGGAAAGGGTTTTAGTGCCACCAAAGTTGTCGATCCCTATGTTAACACCAGGGATGGCTGAGAATCCTCCGCGTTTCACGCATTTCCCTAGGGATCTAAGTGACCCAATGTAGGTAATATGTGTCGACATTCGGGTCCAATGTAGGTATTATTTGTACACTTGGATCCCCAGGGATTTTCCTGTGCCATAAGAATAAGGGCTAGCAGCTGCTCTGACGATCGACTCCAAAGGAAGCCATCTTTGGGTAATGCCCAGTGGCTGCTTGCTGTACAAAATGCGCAGGCTCCGTTGACAACCCGACAGTCCCTTTTCAAGACCTGTAAGTTCCAACTTGCCCGATACCTTTTGGCGACCCTTGGTAAGCAGCGGCTTTCATGCGGCCCGCCATTGCGGCATAGAAGCACGTCACGTCCAGCTTCAAAAGCGTACATGCTTAAACCCTAGCTCCAACCGCCCAGGCCCATTGACAGCAACATGTTGTTTGATGTGAAGAGCGGGTAGAAGAGGTCAAAGCACTGAAGGGTCCTGCTTGTGCAAAAAGATCTTCCCATCACTGGCAGCCAAGTGAGTTCCCAAATGAAGTGCCACCAGAGCATCATCGTTACAGCTTGTTGGCCAAGGAAGCAGGCAGCGCGAAAGAAGACAGTTCTTTCAGGACTGCGCTGTTTTAGCTGGACTACATACCCTCAATCATCCCTTCTTGTCTTATGTCTTATGCACCTTCAGATATTTTGAAACGACCCAACACTCCCAAAGGGCTGCCCAGAATGCAAGCATTCAATGGCTGCTGCACAAGCTTTTGTCATCCTTTCAAGTGTTATACCCAATAAGCTGACGCGTCAGGCTCTTCGAAGAAGACTCGAGTGGCCAGCGCTGACAACATTGAAAATAGCAGAGCCCCAAGAGAGTGATCAACATGAGCATGAGTGGGCAGTTTGTTGTTATTCTTATTCTTAATTACTGTTGTTTGTACCATCATTATAATGATTTGCATTTTTCTGCATCTGGAGAAGGTCATTAGTATTCAAACAAGTGGTGGACTGGAAGCCTCTCTGTGCGCAAAGGCTCTGTCAGCAAGAGCGTCGCCGTCAATCCTGCAGCTTCCACGGAGGATGATGCAGCTGTCCTGCCTGCTGGCGATTCCGAAGGAACAGGACACCTTGGACGTCTGCAGTGCTTGAATTGCAGCCCCCTGAGCCCTATAGTCCCCCTTAAGTAGGTAGAATCTGGCTTTGGGTATATTATAATAAGATCCCCATATACCCCATATTCTATCTACCTAAGGGGGACTGTAAAAACCTGGAACTCTCATTACATCTGTGAGGCCAAGCACGAGAGCCCGGCGCTCCTGACGGCGGTCCAAAGGCCGCAGGCAAGGGATTTTGGATGATGTTGCAATCTGTGGGGGTTTCCCAAAATTAGGGGTACCTTGGGGTCTCCATAATAAGGATTATAGTGTTTTGGGGTCTATATTAGGGTCCCCTTAGTTGGGGAACTGCCATGTCCCGATTTTCACTGCATCCCTCATGACATTTGTAAACTGTTCCGCGCCAGCCAAACGTAGGCAGCACAGCAATTCGCTGCTTGCACTGCGCTGAATTGCAGTGCCAGGCAGCAACACCAGTACTGAAGAAGCAGCTCTTGGAAACGTGTCAGCAGATGCCAAAGATGAAGGACTGCACGCGTTACTGGTGTTTTGGGGAATCAAGAGCATCAAGACGCTCGCATTTTTCCACACAAGCTTCATTCCTGCGCAAATGCTGGGGAAACTGTATCTCCACATACAGTTATCTTCAGATGCCAAACCCGTAAGCCCTAACCCCAAAACCCTGAACCGTTACATTTGAAGAGTTCAGGTCTCCGGGGCCCTATTGCAAAGAACTTTGGGCTGGCCAGGAAGGTTCAGCTTGCAAAAGCCTGCTCCATGAGTTTCATTCGGCGAAAAAGTTGTGCAATGACTGAGTTGTTCTTAAGATTATGGCCCCTTCGGGGTGTATATATATATATATACATATATATATCATGGCAACAAATATTTAGGGGTACGAAAACGGGACCCTGGTTCTGGGAACTACCCAAATGTGAGGAGAAAGCGCGCAGGATGCGAATGGTCTGGGCCTCGGGGTCATCGCTAGAGTCTAAACTCCTTAATGGGGGTTATATGGGGGACTATATAAAGGTGATGAAAAAGAAAATGAAAGCTACTATTTAGGGTCATAATGTAGGGTTTAGGCTATATAGGGGTAATGGAAAAGAAAATGGAAGCTACTATTTAGGGTCATATAATGTAGGGTTCAGGGTTTACGGTCCAAACTCCAAAAAGAAACCATATAGGGGGTCATATAGGGGACTTATAGGGCTTATGACGGAGCTACTAGGAGTTCAGATTATGGCTTAGATGATACTGACTAGATTCGGCTTATGCGCCCTGAGTCAGTCTTTTGCTGCTGCAGACTGGGCTGTATAGGTACCATTATAGGGGTATATATGGGGATTATATGAGGATTATTATAGGGATCCACTCCCCCACGCTCCCTTAAGCACCAGCAAGACAGGCGACAAAGCTCCGGAAGGCGAGCGGAAAGAAAGCAATGCTGGAGTCGAGGAGCAAGGTGCGAGAAAGAGAGATGCGCCAAGAAGAACGTGGATTGTGACACTGCGTTAGCTAGCTCATTTCGATCTTCACTAGTGCTCATCCAAGCTGTGGCCTTCTCCAGTACAGGCATCAACCGCAACTGTTTGATCCGCCATCTGCCTTCTGTGGTGCACAAGAGGTGGGCTCTCGAAAGCTCGCGTCGTGATTGAGCATGCCAAGACTCCTCGTTCAGTCTGCCGGGGACTTAGCCACCATATAAACCCAATTTCCATTTCATTTTCCATGTTCTTTTCCATCAGATTCTCCACTAGACAGTCGAGGGAAACTGCAGCGCTTTTCGCATGAGCGGCCAGGCAGGCAGATTTGGAGCATTTCAACACGTGTCTCTTGATATTTCTCCGAACGCAGAAATGGACAATGAAATGGATATTGGGTCTACATAGGGTTCCATGCCCTTCCCAGACAGTGACCGGATTCGCGAACAACCCTGAACCCTAGAACCATTCTTGAGGCCGGATCTGTGGCAACAGCATTGACAAAGGCAGCGTTCGCTGTGGTGTCCAAGGCCAGACTATTGTGCATTGTTTAGGGTATGACCATGGTTATTACTATTCTTACTTTTTCAACTGTCACTGCTACTACTGTTGTCACAAAAGCTCCTTGGAGGGAGCCTTGTTTAGTACCTCACGGAGTGAGC